TCTACGCCTCTCGAAGACGTGGTGCTTGTGGCCGATAACGCCCCGTGTCACGCTCGAATAGAAGCGGTCTTCAAAGAAGACAGGTTCTCCTCAGCAACGTTACTGAGGTTGGGTCCATATTCACCCATGTTAAACCCCATAGAGAACTGTTTTTCGGTGTTCAAGTCAATGGTGAAGCGGTTTCTAGCACGCCACCGCCAAGCGATCCTACAAGTGCCTCCTCATCGTACCATCAAAGAGCACCGGGAGGAGTACTTAATGATGGCTGCAGACTTGCTCGTCCACGAGGCCATAACACCGGAGTTGTGTCGCAAGTGTGCGCTGCACACAGTCAAGTTCCATGCTGCGGCGATTTAACTGCAAGACATGCCGGTGGGTCAGTGAGGATATTAATTTATGCGTTTTTTCCATTACAATAAATGCAGTTTTGATTTTACATTTTGCAGCATTGAATTTCCTTTTTGCCATTTTGAAGGTTAAAAGGTGTAGACTGATGGTAAAAGAACACTAGAGAGTAGTAGCTCCGAAGAAGGCGTCATCGGTATCGTAGGGTTTTCATTCCACTTCCTATTCATGTTCTTTTTAAACGACGTTTTGGTGCCACACTTAGAAGCAGATAAAACATTCCTAAAACTGATCTAAACTGATCTAACTGTCCTTAAGAAAAATACCAGATTGTGGAGAATCTGTTCTAAAATTCATTTAAATTACCAGCAGGTAATTTTCCACCCTTTAGTAAAATCAAGTGTCTCCACCTATTGTCCAACACCAATCAATTTTACCTTGGGCAGAAGCTTCTAGTCCTTCGTCCATTTTCCAATCTACCATGGAGCATAAAGGCTACAACTTTTACTGCCAGCGCAAGGTCACCGAGACTAACACTACCTACTGGGTCTGCGCCCAACACCGATCTGGATGTAAGGCCCGCTTGATTGTTCGCGACGGGAAAGTCAGAGCACTCAATGACCACACTTGCATGGTGGAGACGCCACCAGAAGTCACCGACGTTCGCCAAGAAATGCAGGTCGCTCTCCAGGCAGCGTGCCTGTCGAACCTAGCGTTGCCTCCCGGTATGGTGTGGGAGCGGACGATGTCAAGCATGCGTGAGGTGTACCAAGCCTCGATCCTCAACACCATCGGTAGGGTCCCAACGATCTTTATCATCAAGTACACCAGGGGTCAGATAACTGCAGTGACGCTCTTCGAGCCATCGAGAGCGCTCCAACACGGAACGTTGCCCAGGATGACCCGAGGCCATTCCTCCAATTCAGTGTCGTCCACACAAATGTATGTTGGCAACGCAGATTTATCGGATATTGTAATGGGTCACCATTTACATAAGTAGGTAGGTTTGATATACAAAAGTAGGTACAATAGCACGGGAGTAGCGCATGCTGTGTTGTCGTATTCTGATTGGGTGAAAGGTCAGGTATTCAGCCAATCAGGAGTCGACTGGCATTTGAGTGGTTCTCAAGGGGCCAGGGTTCTGCCTTGGACCAAAATTAAATCAGAGTTTTATTTTACCGATAATTGAATCTTGTCGTGCTAAGTACGCTTCCTCATCGCTACGTGTAAGCTAGTAACGGTAAATACCTGGCCCGTTACAGATTTGGACATCCGGATCTTATACGGCTGCTGCGCTACACCGGCACGGCGCTCTACATCGACGGAACGTTTAAGATGGTGCCAAAGCCGTTCACTCAGTGCCTCATCGTGATGGTCCGAGATCCCGGGGTACTGTACGTTCCGGTAATGTACGTACTGATATATTCTAAACATCAGGATGCCTACTGGAATGCGGTTATTTACATCGTCATCCAGACTGGGTGTCTGCTCGAGCCCGCATCAGTGACATGTGACTTTGAAAAGGGGCTTATGAAGGCCATGACAGAACAGTTCCTCTCGCTAAGATCGTTGGGTGTTTTTTTCCATTTGGAAGCAAGCTCTTTGGCGCAAGATGCTGAGCGAGCGCATCCAGCAGGACCAGATTGCTTCTGCACTTACCCTGAATGCGATTGTTGTACTCACAATCATTCCGGAAAACGAAATCGCGGACAAGGTATGATCTCATTTTAATATTTTGTGATCTACTACTTTTTGTTTTCTATTAGTATGTTTTACTATTTTGCTATATTTTAAATTAATATATTTTAGGGAATTCGCTACGAGCGCAGCCTGGTGGATGAAACTGGAGCCAAGACCAAGTGGAATTCGTTTTGGCGTTACTTCAAGAACACCTGGTTGAACAGCAACGGAGCTGATCTCTGGAACGTCAACAGCATGCAAGCCGCTGGAATTGATCTGACCAACCGGACGAATAATCCTTTAGAACGCTACAATCGTGCGTTCGGTGAATTGTTCTCGGTAACGCATCCAAGTCTCCGTGCGTTCGTTGAAACAGCAAAGACAGATACACGCCGCTACGCCCAAATGATCGACGATATCAAGCATCATCGTCGCGAACCGCCTAGACATGCAGAATTTGTGGAGCCGCATGTGTTGGTCGACTACCTGCACTTCCAGTAGTCGATTGAGTCGCACAGTTAGTAATCTAATCTGATAATGACTCACGTGGCGTTAAGGTTGACATAAAACTATTGTCCTAATTACCAGGCTTGCCTAATACCAAGACGACTTATTTTAAAACGGATAGTAGTGTGTGCTTGGTGCCTTGTTCTAATCCTATACTTGTTCTAATGTGGTATCATCTTGTCCTAATCCTTTTGTTTCACCAGCTTTTTCTCACAAGTTGTTCTAATGAGTGAGCTAATTACTGCAAGATATTTCAGTATTTAGGACGATTAGAGCTGTTTTAGAACATGTTTTAGGTATGTTTTTACCAGCACCCCACACTTAGTGTACCTAACCGGACCACCGGACCACACAATAAAGTTCATTTCGTACATTACCAAGTCTTGTTGCCACACATACTATGAACATAATATTGAAGATTCAATACCATGGAGGGGGGGGGGGGGGGGGGGGGGTCAGACTTGAACTAATCCAAAAATAATCACATGCCATTTCGCCCCAAATCACGCGTGATTTCCCGGCAAATAGCATGTCACTTGATATGAGTTTTTAAAAGGGCGTGTCAGAGTTGCGCGGGAAATCTTTGGGCTCGGCGATCGTTCGAAAAGTCACACCCTCGAAATGCCTAAGGTCGGTGATCGACAGGCGCTTATGGATGAGGTCGTTGATCTCCTCGCTCTCGCGATCCTTGAGAAAGAGTTTGATGAAGACCTCGGTGGATGCTCTCCGTTTGATGACTAGTTTGGGTACTTCCCTGTCGAATCAATCGTGGAGGAGCTATACGAAGTCATGGTGCAAGTTATATCGCGGCGCTACTGAAGGCCGAGAGTGAATCGGGCGAGAAGTCGAGGATTTGCAAGAGAATTCTTTCAAAATGTAGATGATGAGGAGTTTCGGAGCCTCACACGCACTACAAGATAGTCATTCGAGTTCATTTGTGACTTGATAGGAAGTCATCGCGTGTTTGTCGACGACAGCCACTGCCCACAAGCCTTCAGCTTTTATTTCTCATCCGTGTCCTGTATTGCCCTTGACCTGAACCAAATCCACGAGAACACAATAGTCCTCAGGGGATAGAGGGACCTTAGAGGACTCAGCATAGAATTGTGCTTTTTTTTACTGATATATCTACACAAAGAACGAGTAGTAAGACAAGCTGCAACACAGCGACGAAGTGGATACAGCGGACAAAAGCTTACCAGCCACGATTTGACGTCTCGCTGGCGTTGTAGAACGGAAGTTAACGCCGTAAACGCCGTGAGGACGTTCCCGCTCAGGTCAGCAGCGCGTGTGTTGTCTTGGATAGACGAAGGTAAACCGCCTTTGCAGCGCACGCTGGATGTTTCCTTTGGCGATGAAAGAAAACTGAGAACATGATTAAGGGGATTTCATGTTCCGCCAAATGGCACCTGGTACTTCGAAAACACCCAGCACTGGAGGTAGGTGATTATGAAATGACATGCTATTTGCAAAAAATCACATGTGATTTGGGGCGAAATGGCACGTGATTATTTTTGGATTTTGTTCAAGTCAGACACCCCCTAATGCAAAAACAAAGATAAGTAGTAAGGCACTCACTCCTCACCGGGATTCCCGTGTCTTGGTGCCCTTTTGGGAAATTTACGCAAATGCGTTACATTATCGAATACTTACAGTCATGGTTATGCAGGTAGAAAGAATATCGAAGACATTTCTTGAATGAGCTTGCTACCCTTTTCCACTTTTCATACGTTTTGCGAAAGTTCATATTAGATTTACTGTTAAAGAAAGTCGGCATGAATCTGGCGTTTTTGTAAATGTTGTATTAAACATGGCATTCTATCAAAACCGTGTCAGCTCTATCCAGCAAAGCGTCACAGATCTTAGTAAAAGCAGTTTGGCGTCCCAGATTTAACTACAGAATCTGGCATTGTCATTCCATAATTACATGTTAGCATTTTCAACTAGACTTGCAAACAGTTATTTACCCGCGTAGCTCCCTATACACTAGAGATAGGAAAAATCAAAACTATATTGTACTGGGTTGATCATTTTGGTGTAATAAGAAAATCGCTATACCACTAATAAAAATAGCCGCAATTAAAATATAGTGATACAATATTTGACTATGTCTTCGCGTGTGATTTCCGTGAGGATTCTAGCCAGTTGTCCACTTGTGAAGCTGCCACAGTGCTACTCTTTTGTAGGGACGCTAGATGGCAATAGTTGGGATAGTAAGCTGCATCCCGTTCCAACTCGAGGAAGTAAATTTCATATAACATTTTATAAAGTGCGACCACTTTAGTATTTGCATTTCCCTATAAGTATATTACCAATAATAAAACCTTAGCATCTTATTTGACTTCGTTTTATCGACGGTGCCAGCCCTTGACTGCATTGACGTGTTTGAGATTACAACAAAATCGTGAGTATTGCTTTTACTGTTTTTCCGTGCAGGAAGTTAGACATTATGAGCTGGCAGTGTCGCCTAAGCGTGCGTTCGTAGACACCGGTTTTTATTGCAGTGGAGCACTTTGATAAAGATGCTACGGTGTTGGATCTGGCCCAGTTCAATCACAGACACTTTTGCCATATGTATTGTCAATTATTGCTCCAACATCGTATTGTATTGCCAACGGAAACTGCCAAAACAATTTATTGCAGAATCCAATTATTTATCGAATCTCAATTTTGACTCTTGTCTCTTTCCCAGATTTCAGAACGAAAAGGTTAAATAATTTTAAATGAAGCGCATTTTGGGCTTCGTTGCACTTTGGTGATCCAAAGCGAAGCTTCCTCGAGAACACAACTATGTATATTTTGTTAAGAAAGAAGCTTCATCATGCACGATATTGTCAATAAGGACAATAACATTACGGCCTCGAAGCTCTAATCCTGTTGAAAACACCTTGGCTTATCAATTTAACAGGGTTTGTTGGTGCAACTTATTTTGTTGCTGCAAAAACATCATCGGAGATGGTGCTCTCAGCAGGCTGTGCCCTAGTCATACGAGGACTAGCTCGTGATAACTAGTACATACGTTGAAATCGTTCGTCGTCGCTATCCTCGATTTGGCCCAGGCCGTTCGCTTCGCTTAGATCCGTGGCCTTATAATTCACCAGAAGTCTTTTGTTGACTGTGTCGTCCGCTAGTGTGTTTATTGAAGCAGTCTTGACCACTTGTGGACTGCTGAAACCCACCGCCGCACTAGCAACAAGAGTGATCACACAGATCATAAGAAGGTACCTCAGATGCATCGCTGATTGAGTGGTGCAAGCCGCGTTTCGTACTGAGCAGAACTCGGTATGGGTCAACGCATAATGTTCCGTAAACAGCTACCGCCTTTCGTAAAACTGTTACCGTTATCATTGTCCGTAAACATTGTACATTATGAAAGTATAATCCGTAAACAGCTACTGACTCACAATATGACGGTCGGTATAACATTATAAAAGTCGGTAAGCAATTCGCTACCGACTTTCACGTTATGAAAATATAATCCGTAAGCAGTTACTTTGCCCTCTCTTTTAGACCTCTAAAAATAGACTTGCACTACCACAGAATCCGAGTTTTCATGAGACATGCAAACTTTGACTTTTTGATGTAGCGGTCTGATTTGGCAACAGCGAAATTGCCCTTTTAGAAGGGCAATTCGAACGCACAACTAGCACTTATGCAGGAAATACGAGTTTTAACTCAGATCATCAAGCTACAAAATCGTGTTTTATAAATCAGAGTTAAGTCGTAAATGAGACCTTGATGATTTAAACTGGAGTTATAACCGAGATAATACACAGGACTGGGTCAATAACAAACAATAGCACCCCGTTGCCAATACAGACCGTGAACAGATGACGTACAGCACGTTGGCCATCTCCAGATGTACATTCGTGATATAAAGAGGAAATAATTCAAAATTATTTGGAAATTTATGGAAACATTGACGATACGTGAGACTTCTCTGTTGTAGCCTCTTCACTTCTGACAAACACAGCATCAATGGAAGGACACTACTCTGTACCTACCGATGTCTTTGCATCTACTTCCCCCAAAAAGCATTCAAGTCTGATCTCATATGACCCTTTCTAATGAAATTGTTTGTTTTTTTTAAATTCCAGGTTAGACAGGTTTATACCAGCGACTTTGCAAAAAAAAAAAAAGTATGCCACACCCAGCGGAATCGACCATATCAAGTGCAGTAGGAGTAAACGGGTTCATCTGTACATGTATCAGTGATTAGAGAGAGAGAAAAAAGTGTTGGCAGCAAACATGTTATTGTAGTCAGCAATGAATCACTGCTGTTACAATACAATAGATTATCACCATTGAATATTATATTTACCTATCGGAGATTAGGCAAATTCTTGATACGATTATTGATTTTGCCAAGTCCTCAGTGAATATAACCGAATTCTTAAAAACAACAAGCACGTATGAATAATCAGCAGGGACTGAAATGACTGAAATGGATGAAATCGTTTTTGTTATCTTTAATCTGAGAATAAAACGGAAAGGACGTGCGAGCCTCAAGTGACGTTTGCTCCAAAATCTCGATTTACAGAATTAGAATGGTATATGTATAAAAAAGGGTTGGCTTATGAAGTGTCATGATTACGTCTCTTAGTTTGAGAGACAGCTCCGTGCGTATAGCATCTTAAAGGGCTACCTCCAAAACCTCCGGCAGGCTTAGTGTCTATCACTTCGCTTTTTGCATCAGAACACTCATATCTTCGACTCTGCAACAACAACAAAAGATGGGAACTCGCATAGCCGCCGCACTCGGCGTGTTGATTCTCGCTAGCACGATGCCAGCTTCTGCCCAGAACATGTCGTTTGGGGCCGACAACTTTTATCGTAGCCACAACGTCACCATCCAGCCCATTACGTTCCAGAATCAATTCAAGATGAACATCGCTGGCAATCTCTTCACCCCTAAGAACCTCAACACCACCATGGGAGCTCCGGCCATTGTCATCAGCCACCCAATGGGTGCTGTGAAGGAACAGAGCGCGAACCTTTACGCCGCCAAGATGGCCGAGCACGGCTTCGTCACCATCGCAGTTGATCTCTCCTTTTGGGGTGGCAGTGATGGAGAGCCGCGCAACGCGGTGTCTCCAGACATGTATGCGGAATCATTCAGCGCTGCAGTCGACTACCTGAGTCTGCAGGATTTCATAGACAGTGGACGCATTGGTGGCCTCGGTATTTGCGCAAGTGGATCCTATGTGATCAGCGCCGCCAAGATCGATTCACGCATTAAGGCGGTTGCCACATCTTCCATGATTGACATGGGCGCTGCGAACCGCAACGGCCCAGGAAATTCTCAGACCATCGATCAACGCAAGGAGATCATTGATCAGATGTCCCAGCAACGTTCTATCGAAGCTGCAGGTGGAGAGGTGCAATACACTAGTGGCACGGTGCACGAACTCACCCCTGACACGCCGGATTTCCAGCGCGAATTCTTCGACTTCTACCGCACGGTGCGTGGTGAGTACACGCCTCCGGGTTCGTGGCCTAACGTTACCACCCACCCGACACTCACCAGTGCTGCCAGGTTCATGAACTTCTACCCACTCAACGACATTGACTCCATATCTCCGCGCCCTCTACTTTTCGTCGCTGGTGATCAGGCGTTCTCTCGTGAGTACAGCGAAGCTGCATATGCTGGTGCGGCCGAGCCAAAGGAGCTGTACTGGGTGGCTGGTGCTGGACACGTTGATCTCTACGACCGCGTGAGTCTCATTCCTTTCGACAAGTTGACTGAGTTCTTCACGGTGAGCCTGACAGTGAATTTTACGCAATCTAACTGAAAAGTCTGCCTTTAACGCCGATGCAAGCGCAGTTGAGTGACAGAAAAAAGTGTCAAGTTAATCTTCAATCGAAAAGAGACTAACAAAAAAATCGCGCTTCAATAAATAATAGGTTTTGCAAAACTAAATTATTAATTAGAATTGCAATTCAATAGGATATTGGGCGAGTCATTGACAATAAATATGGCAGAATTTAAAAAAAAGTATCGGGACTGCCAAATCCGAGGCATCCTTAATGAGGTGCTCATCATCGTGTTCAAGTCGACTTGAGACAGATGATTACAAGTGTTCGCTTAGACCACACTGCCATTTCAACATGTCTAACTTCTTGCAGGCCTAATTTAGTTATTGCTGAGTTTCGAACTACGTTTGTTATTGCGGAATAAAAGAAGTAAAATTCGTCGCATTTTGTTGTAGTCTCAACTCATACACAGTGACACAGCTGCGATACACCAGCGCCATTGATAATACGAAGGTGAATACCCTACTAACCTTTTAATGATGTCGTTTCGATCACGTATCCGTGTTCCGATAGTTATAAAGATGATACGAATTCGTAGTGAAATTACTTTAATACAATTTGGAAACACTGCTTGAGTCTCCTGTGTCTTTTGTGAGCATAATACGCGAGTAGATGAATGCCATCATGGAAGACTCTGAGGATCAAGGCATACGTAAACCAGTTGTTCTGAAATGTGTTTAGACGTCCTGATGATCGCATGAGTCTTATTCAACCAATCCGATCGCTTGGGGTAAACCAGTGCGATGTGATGTGATGCGACGGAGCCGTTTTGACTGGACTTAAGTTGGCACTGCCACTGGGCGGCAAACGCCAGCCTTTAATGAACTAGATATATCTCAACCCCGCAAATTCTCGACTGATCATCCTCGCTCCAGGTCTTATTTTCGTATGTTTTATTCTCGCACTCTATATTGTAAGGTCAGTAGTGAGCCGTATGACAAAGCAAAGTGTCTGCAGACAACGGACATTAAAGCTAATCCCGGCTTCGGACTTCTCATTGAATTTCCTGGTCAATTTCGTGCACAACTAACACCGTCCCGGACGCATTAGGCCGTCGCCTGGCTTCAGAATCGACTTGGAGATATAGAAGCAGAAGATGAACGTTGCTTCTCGTTTGATGCCACTTATGCTCCTGCCTTTAATTTGGCGATTGCAGCAACGCGCGGGGTGGATTGGAAGAATAGGAAAAAAAAAAAAAAAAAAAAAAAA